GAAGATCACTAGAGCCCTGCAGTTGGAGGTGGCAGTGAGCTTTTTCTTTTATTTATTTATTTATTTTTTTAGACAGAGTCTTGCTCTGTCGCTCAGGCTAGAGTGAGTGCTGTGGCATCAGCCTAGCTCACAGCAACCTCAAACTCCTGGGCTCAAGCAATCCTACTGCCTCAGCCTCCCGAGTAGCTGGGACTACAGGCATGTGCTACCATGCCTGGCTAATGTTTTCTATATATTTATATATATTAGTTGGTCAATTAATTTCTATTTATAGTAGAGACAGGGTCTCGCTCTTGCTCAGGCTGGTTTAGAACTTCTGACCTCGAGCAATCCGCCTGCCTCGGCCTCCCAGAGTGCTAGGATTACAGGCGTGAGCCACCTCGTCGGGCCTTGCAGTGAGCTTTGATGATACCCGTGCACTCTAGCCCAGGAGATAGAGTAAAACCCTGTTCCCCAAAAAAGTGAATATAGGCCAGGTATGGTGGCTCATGCCTATAATCCTAACACTTTGGGAGGTCAAGGCAGAAGGATTGCTTGAGTCTAGGAGTTCAAGGCTGCAGTGAGTTATGATCTTGCCACTGCGTTCCAGGCTGGGCAACAGAGCAAGACCCTGTCTCAAAAAAAAAAAAGAAAAGGAGGCCGGGTGCAGTGGCTCATGCCTGTAATCCTAGCACTCTGGGAGGCCAAGGTGGGTGGATTGCTCGAGGTCAGGAGTTCAAAACCAGCCTGAGCAAGAGTGAGATCCTGTCTCTACTATAAAAATAGAAAGAAATTAATTGACCAACTAATATATATATAGAAAAAATTAGCCAGGCATGGTGGCACATGCCTGTAGTCCCAGCTACTGGGGAGGCTGAGGCAGCAGGATTACTTGAGCCCAGGAGTTTGAGTTGCTGTGAGCTAGGCTGATGCCACAGCACTCACGCTAGCCTGGGCAACAAAGAGAGACTCTGTCTCAAAAAAAAAAAGAAAAGGAATATGAAAATAAATGGGCATTGTTTTGTTTTGCTATCCCTTGATAAATATCTATTCTATTTTAGATTTACAAAAAGATTTCTGAAGATAACAACTGCCTTCAAATCAATGTGGATATCTTCTACCTTTAATCAAGGATCAAGTACTTTAAGAACCACTTAATAAATATGGCAGAACCATGTATGTGTGTTAATGCTCAAAGTAAAAGCTCTTTTCTTGAGAAATAATTGATGTTGAAAAGATTTCCTGAGAACACCAAAGGAGAGTATCAAGATATCTTGAAGGAGCGGTAAAAGGAATTAATGAATGGATTGCAGATAATTTTGTAAAATTTAATATTATAGAAAAATAATTCTAAGACTTCTGATATGTTCAGTTCTACCACTTGCTGTATATAGAGGTAAGTGAGCAGTAATATGCCTGAGACTTTCAGCTTAGCTCACTGGATATAACCTCCGTATTTCTGGGTGAATGGGGGCTTTGTCACATAATCATACCTGGAGCATATATTCAGTAACTTCCTCGTTTTGCTTACTAATATTTTTATTGGTCAGGCCAAACTCCACTGGCCATCTTTTTAAAATCATTTTAAACTAGGCATCTAAACCTACCATAACTTCAAAAGATATGAGTTACTAGATTAACACTAATTACTGCAATCGTAGCCCCTAACTTTTTTCCTCAGAGAAATCTACGGTAAAGAAGCGGCTTAGAAAGAAATAAGCAACTTCACCAAAATAAGACATGTTATACTTGTCAAAATGCTTGAACTTTTGACATATCTAAGTCCTTAAATTTTAAGTTTTCTTTCTTTGATTTTGTGTGGATTCTAATGTGTCAGATTTCTCTTGCCTGGTTTTACAACCAAGCTAAACAAATCAGTCATTATAGTTTATATTCTGTCTTCTAAGAAACATTGAGACACAGCTGTCAGGCTGATGCTTTCCTCGACTTAATGAAAAATTTCCTTCCTTTGCATTTCCTTTTACATTGTTTTCTCTTTTGGTTTATATAAAACAGACTATAATGCAGCTGACACATTGAAATGCTTTGTATTTCTTCCTCTTCCCCTATTTTTTTAGAAAAAATATTAAAGGCAAATATAAAACTCATTGTCATTTGAGCTTCTGTGTAATACAGATTACGTAGTCTTCATGTTCTTAAAACAATGGGTCAGCGGGGCACGATGGCTCACGCCTGTAATCCTAGCACTCTGGGAGGCCAAGGGGGACGGATTGCTGGAGGTCAGGAGTTCGAAACCAGCCTGAACAGAAGCGAGACCCCGTCTCTAATATAAATAGAAAGAAATTAATTGGCCAACTAATATATAGAGAGAAAACTAGCCTGGCATGGGGGCGCTGGCATAGTCCCAGCTACTTGGGAGGCTGAGGCAGAAGGATCACTTGAGACCAGGAGTTTGAGGTTGCTGTGAGCTAGGTTGACGCCACGGCACTCACTCTAGCCTGGGCAACAAAAGTGAGACTCTGTCTCAAAAAAAAGAAAAAATTAGCCGGGCATAGTGGCGCATGCCTGTAGTCCCAGCCACTCGGGAGGCTGAGGCAGTAGGATTGCTTGAGCCCAGGGATTTGAGGTTGCTGTGAGCTAGGCTGATGCCATGGCACTCACTCTAGCCTGGGCAACAAAGCAAGACTCTGTCTCAAAAATAAATAAATAAAATAAAAACAATGGGTTAATAAAACTCCTGAATACAAAATTACTAAAGACTTAGTTTGGCCAGGTGCAGTGGCTCAAGCCTAGCACTCTGGGAGGCCGAGGCAGGAAGATTGCTTAGGTCAGGAGTTTAAGACCAGCCTGAGCAAGAACGAGACCAGTCTCTACTAAAAATAGAAAAAAATTAGCTGGGCAACTAAAAATAGAAACAAAAAATTATCTGGGAGTGCTGGTGCACACCTATAGTCCCAGCTACTCAGGAGGCTGAGGCAGGAGGATCATTTGAGTCCAAGAGTTTGATGTTGCTGTGAGCTAGGCTGACGCCATGGCACTCTAGCCTGGGCGACAGAGTACAACTCTGTCTCAAAAAAAAAAGATTCAGTTCCTTTTAAGAACTCAGAATGAGAGTGGGAAAACTGGTATTATGCTTTCAACAAGAGGTGTTAAGCTTTCGTTATGGTTTTATATTAATGTTTTAATATTAAAGCTCTTAGATAAAAGCTGGCATACTTGCCATAAGATTATTAATTACAGAACATGTGCTCATTAAAAAGAATAAATAGGCCAGGTGCTGTGGCTCCCACCCATAATGCTAGCACTTTGGGAGGTGGAGGCGGGAGGATCACTTGAGGTCAGGAGTTCAAGACTAGCCTGAGCAACATAGCAAGACCCCATCTCTACAAAAAGTAAAAAAAAAAAAAAAGTTAGCCAGACATGGTGACATAGGATCAACCAGTAGTTTAAGGTTGCAGTAAGCTATGATGATGTCACTGCACGCTAGCCCAGGCAACAGAGCAAGACTATCTCAAATAATAAATGTTTAGTTCTTGAAGAAAGCAAAAACACGCTCAAAGACTACCGACTTCCTTTTTCCCTGATTTGCCAGTTTACTGGTGTAGTAGAATTATAAAAACAAATGGCCATCTCCAAACCTGCCAATTTATAAAGAAACCCAAAGAATACAAAATTCATCGTTCTTTGGCTCGTACAACAGAGGAAAAAGTCAGTGGGCTTGCTGGAGAAGAGGGGAATGGTCAGTAGTTTTGTCCAAGAAGATGATTGGCTATTTCTGGTTCTTCTGAAGGTAAATGGACTTCATTGGAAATCTTCCAGGTTCCATATTTACTTAGGTAGAAATTCTATCTACAATTTTAATATAACAATAAACACTTGTTACATAATGTGCATATATTACCTAATTTAATCTTTCTATTCTACCAAGTAGCTACTATTTTCCCCATTTTACAGATGAGGAAACTGAGGCAAAAATAAGTTAATTAAACTGCCTGAGGTGACCAGATTCAGACAAAGGAGTCTGACTTTTTAATCACTCCACAGTAATTCCTCTCCTATCTGAGGAGGATTTCAAAATTTCCCATTCCTGGTAAACTCCACAATCTGAATAATTCAGTAATCCTAATCCTCACTTCACTATGTTTAAAATCTGATATTTTAAAGTAGCTTTCAGAGCATTTTAAATTTTCACTGCTTCTCTTGAAAGGCAGCCACAATGTATGTCTTAAAGCCATGAGATCAAATAGTATCAACTGGTTTAAGTTAATTCAGGCACAATACATATTTATTGAGTTCTTTTGTAGGGCTGAGGGAGGGTATGGGAATCAGTGTTTTCATTAACCCACACTGATTATACATTCTTGAACTTTTCCAGAATCCTACGGTACAAAACGTAGGTTCTTAAGGTGACGTCCTGGAAACCTAGAATGAGTGAGTTTCAGGATGTAAAACTAGTGCCCAAAAGAATTGTATATATGCCTATGATCTTTTTTTTTCTGTGGACAGCAATCTACTGTTTCATAATCTTAACATCAGCTTAAATCATATATTCCAAAAATAAAATAACTGAGGGTTAGCCTATGTCACTTCCACCTTTCAACAGTGTGAATGTAGTCTCTATGGCAGCCACTATTTTTTAATGTCTCATATTTTCCTGCATTATTTGAGAAACAGATATCGAGAAATAGCCTTCATTACTACTGCCGCTACTTTGCGCATCGGGAGGCGGAGCTTGCTTTTCTCACGGTTGCCAGCTGGGAGGGAAGAGAGGTCGGCTATCATGACTGCTTGGCTCTGCGCAGAGAGTTCCTGCCAGGCCAGAGCGTCCTGTTCTAAATTCTTACCCTTATTTAGACTCGTCACCACCCCCGCACTGAGAACAGCTGGACTGGTCATTCGTTAAAGGAAGTGGCTCCAGGCAGCTCTTGACCCGGAATCGGATCCTAGTCCCGCCCCCTCCTGGCCAGGCTTCCTTCTGCAACAGGCGTGGGTCACGCTCTCGCTCGCTCTCTTTCTGCCGCCATCTTGGTTCCGCGTTCCTTGCACAGTAAGTTGTTTCTGCGCCTCTGCTTTCTATCCGCAGCCATCCGCCTTTCTTTCGAGCTAAACCGCCCTGGGGATTGAGAGTTAAAGAGAGTTGGAGGCCTTATGGGACCACAGGGTTCTCAGTCGCCCTTAGGTCTCCGGACAAAATGGGGTCTGCGATTGGTATCTTGGCAAAGGCAGGGCAGAAGGGCTGCTGGCCTGGCCAGGAATCCAAGCCTGAAGAGACAGGACAATTACAGTGTTGGGGGAGTGCGGAAGCGGAGTGCGTCTGCTTTTGGAAATGGCTTCACGAGATGCGGAAATTAAGAGGTCACACCCTTAGAACCCCATCCCTGTTCTAATTGTGACAAGCAAGTATTGGTACTGAATGCACCCTTCTCCCCCACCCCCGGCTCCCAGAAGTCATCAGACGGTAGTCCTGGAGGCCCCAGCACAGGCAACGTGAATGTTAGGAGGGGTGGCGGGTTAGGTAGCGTTTAAAGTCTCCCATGGTCGGGAGCCAGACTGAGATCCTCCTTGAGTTGAGAACGGAGTGGTTTATTGCTGGCCTTGTGGGATTTGGAGTGTGAAGAAAACGAATCTTGGGCACTAGAGGAGTCGCTCGCTGCCGAGTGAAGAGGCTTGGTAAGAGATGATTCGCGTGGTAGAGATTTCAGGGTCACGTCCTATTTACCTATACCCAGGTTATTTGGGGAGGGTTGTCCCCAGACAGCCTCTTGATTTTTTCTTAACAGTCCTCCGCAGAATTTTTAGAAATACTTAACTCTGGATTGAGCAAGTGAATGCATCCCAGCCAATTCAGGCCTCCTTTTTATTCCCTTCAGAAATGCCCGGTGAAGCCACAGAAACCGTCCCTGCTACAGAGCAGGAGTTGCCACAGCCTCAGGCTGAGACAGGTAGGTTCCCCTGGCCCCCTTGCCTTAATTAATATTGAGCCTAAGGCCGTTTGGTGGATAAAGTGACGAAGGGGAAATACACTCTTCCTTTTAAATTTATCTCTCCTTAAAGAGTATGGAGTTGCAGCTTACCAGGAAGGGTAGACCATAAAATTAACTACTATTTCAAAGGAACTTATTTACGGGGATGGGATAAAAGCTATATTTTTAAGGTTCATGGACATTAAGAGCTCCCTAGCCTGTTTTTTGTGTTATGCCTACTGCCTCCAAAGAAGCTCTGCTGTGGAACCCCCACCTCATGTAGGAAAACTGAGCAAGGAAGGGGTTCAGTGATTCTTACCTATTGGAACTGGATGACACACAGACAGGCCAAGGAGACCTGAGCATTTGTGAAGTTCCAGCCAGCGAGTTGCATCAAGGTTTTAGATAGGAGAGCTTGGCATTGTGCCTTGATCACATGTCTGGATGGGATGTGTGCTGGTGGTAAATGTGTCCTACTGAGCCCCAGGTCCACCTCCGTCAGTTAAGTTTTAAGGGTTGGAGCTGAGATATTTCTAATGTGCTGGAATAGTGCTTACATAATTGTCTGGAACCCAGGATTGAAATAAATCCTTCCTTTGATCTTAGGCGTTGAAATTAATGGGAATAGAATGTAGCGTGAAGTAAGTTTTGAATTCTGATTAAAACATATCTCAGTAGAAAACTTAGGAGGTAGTGAAAAAATTTCAAAGAGATAGTCTTTCTGAGTCAGTTATGCAGAGCTAAATGAAGGGAATCTTCAGGCTGTAATCTCCATCCTCACCTTTTTTTTAATTACACTTGTTACTTAAAGGCAATTTCTGTCCCCTTTTGGAGTTAAAATAGAACTGTTTATACTTGAAACCATTAAAGTCTCCTTTCCCACCTGTCAGATTTTAGCAGCTGAAGGGATTAATACAGCTGCTAGCAAAGACAAAGGAGGGGGCCCTCTAAGCTGTGGTTTAAGCAAAATTAAATCCTTGAAATACAGGGTTTGAGGAAAGGAAAAAGGGACTGGTCTCTAAAGATCCTATAAGTTTAGTGCTAAACAAGATTTTAGAGATTGTGTCATTGAACAATTTTGCAAATATGGAGCATAGAATTTAGATTAATCTGGGAAAATTTGATTCAGGCTTCAAAACTAATGCCATTTACTTATCAGGCAATCCTTGATGCTGTTTAATGTATTTCTAAATAGTCTGAGTTTGTATATCAAGGGAGTACTTGTGATAAATACTCAGGATTTTGTCTGTAACTATAATTAAATAGTCTGTTTGAATGAATGTAGAAGCTAGCTCAGGAAATTGGTTATGGTGCCAAATCAAGTAATTTAAGCCTTATCCCATCTTGAGGTCCAGTCAGAAGAAAAACATATTCCATGTTTTAAATTCTGACTAATGTGTTTGAAAGTGCTTGTTCTGTAATTGTAAGACTTTGGCATACCAACTGTCCAGGAAAAACTGGTTGAACCACCTGTCTTGTCTTGTCTTTTTCTTTTTCTTTTTTTTTTTTTTTTTGAGACAGTCTCACTTTGTTGCCTGGGCTCAAGTTCCATGGCATCAGCCTAGCTCAACCTCAAGCACCTGGTCTTAAGCAGTCCTCCTGCCTCAGCCTCCCCAGTAGCTGAGACTACAGGAATGTGCCACCATGCCTGACTAATTTTTTTTTTTTTTTGGAGACAGAGTCTTGCTTTGTTGCCCAGCCTAGAGTGAGTGCCATGGCGTCAGCCTAGCTCACAACAACCTCAAACTCCTGGGCTGAAGCAATCCCGCTGCCTCAGCCTCCTGAGTAGCTCAGGCTGGTTTCAAACTCCTGACCTTAAGCGATCCTCCCTACTGGGCCTCCCAGAGTGCTAGGATTACAGGCGTGAGCCATCATGCCTGGCCCACCTGTCTTTTCAATAGCAGGATACTATAAAAACTTCAAAATTATTTTTGAGTGAATGGTAAATTTGGATGCTATGGGCTTTCTTTTTTTTTTTTTTTTTCCTTAAACACTCCCTTGCAGGCATTGAGCATTTGTTGATCTAATGCTGTGTTAGCTCCTGAATGACAGACGTGGTGTTGTTTTCATCATTCAGAAAATCTTTTACTGTAGTGCCAAATATTGGTCTATTTTGACAGAATGAAATACTTATCTAGATTAGGGAGTTGGGGATTCAATGTATTACTCTCTCCACTCCAATTCTCTGCTTCCAAAATATAACCACAGTCTGGTTTAACAAGTTGGGTTACAGTTTCATGATTCAGTCACTACCCTTGTGACTAAGCTTTCTCCCTGGAGTTCTAATTCATGCTGGATTAATGTCTAACATTACCTAGGAAGGTCTGTAGAGACTATTGGGTCTGACCCTTTTGTGGTTTTGTTTTGTTGAATAAATAAACTTTGGTGAGGTACAAGGAGGCTAAGTGACTTAGTACTTAATACTTAGTGTTAAATTCTGAAGAGTTACAACTTTAGGAAAAACTGAATTGTGCCACGTAACCCCTTCTTAAAACTTTATTCTAAGAGTCAGATTTTTTATAATGTAGTTAGTAGAAGCCTGAAAAAAACTTGTTTTTTTCAGTCAGCTCAGATTCCTCATCATTATCACTGCTGACTACCTTCCTTGTTCCAGTTTTCAGTATCTGTTTCAGTTAGTGCATGATCTGTGGGATGGATGGGGTAGCATAGCTGTTCTAGTGGTAATTGCATTTGCTGTGAGAAAGACTTGGGAATGGGGTCCGTTTTGGGAGGCAAAGGTAGGGCACAACTGGGAAAGGATAGGAAGCATATTGTGTCCAACTCACTGTAGAGCCTGTGATCCCTATTTAGAGATAGGCTGCTCTTATACTGTTCTCCCTACCCTAAAATAGTTGGTTTGTTTTGGTAGAACTTGGGGAGCATGGGAGAGGGATGTCTTTTCACTGGACCGCTGAAAAATGTCTGGGGAAGGTTGTTGGTATTGCCTGTCACCTTTGTCTAATCCTGTGTGGTGACTTTATTCTCAGATTTAAAACTCCAGTGTTTCCTGTGAGGCATGTGTACCAAGCTGGGCCATATAACTCAATATTTTTTCCCCTTCCCTTCTTTATCTTCTTTTTTGTTTTTCTCCTCCAGCTATGCTTCCCATGTCTTCAGCCTTGAATGTCACTGCTGCCTTAGGGCAGCCTCTACCTACCCTTCCCTCTCCTTGCTCCCTGGCCCCCCAACAATGCCCTCTGGCAACTGCTAACCAGCCTTCCCCATTTCCTTCCCCCTCTACTATTGCCTCAACCCATTTTGAAATTCCTTTTCCCCAGTCATCCTCTGGATCAGCCCTGCCTTTGGGAAATGCCTCTGACACCCCAACTTTCCTACCAAACCTAATAGGGCCTCCCATCTCCCCAGCTGCCTTAGCTCTGGCCTCTCCCATGATAGCTCCACCTCTGAAAGGGACCCATTCCTCTTCAGCTCCCTTAGCTCTAGTTGCCTTGGCTCCCCACTCAGTTCAAAAGAGTTCTGCTTTTCCACCTAACCTGCTTACTTCACCTCCTTCAGCTGTAGCTGAGTCAGGGTCAGTGATATCTCTGTCAGCTCCCACTGTTCTCTCAGAACAGACTTCTATTCAAGTTCCCTCTCAGGTAGTCCCTAATCCAGAAGGTATCCCAAGTCCTCCAGGTAGAGTGTGTGCGGTTCCTTCCCACCTTATAACCCCCTTGGCCTCTGTACAATCTGGAATAGCCTCCTATCCTCAGACACCACCACCTACCACTTCCCTAGCCATCACTTCCCCTCAGATCAAAGGTATCCCCATTTCCTCAGCTCCTACTTCTCCACAAAACCCAGGAAGCTTCAACCTAAAGGGGCCTGTTAATCCACCTGTTGCCTTATCTATTTCAGCCCAGTCTATGCCTGTGGTGACCTCTTCTCAAAAGACTGTGGCTCCCAACATCACCTCAGTTTTTCCCACTTTGGGCTCTTTACAGCAAAGTTCTTTTGGTTCACCTGTCCAGCCTTTAAGTCAGACAGCTCCTAATGCTCTGTCAGATCCTACAGTAAATACCATTTCTGTAGATCATTCTAACATGGGGGTCTCTTGTCCTCAGAGATCTGTAGTTCCTCCCCTTCCCTCCAGAAATGAGGTAGTTCCTGCTGCTGTGGCTGCTCTTCCATTGGTGGCTCCAGCTTTTCCTCTGGCTGTTGACAAAGGCCTCTCCACCATTACTAACATGACCTCCTGTAACTCTTCTGGTTCCCCAGATGTAGCTGCCACTTCTTTATCTCCTACAGCCTCTCTCAAAGGCTCTCCTAATGACACTACTCAGCCTTTGGTGGCCCAGATTCCTGTTTCTCCAAAAAGTCCAGGCTTGAAAGAAACTCCTATTTCTTCTGTTGGAACCACCCCACTTGAGATGACTAACCCCTCTACAATTTCTGCAGCATCTATTCCCTTCGAGGTAGCTACTTGTGTCTCTCCTCCAGTTTCATCAGGTCTCATACGTAGTAAAAAACCAACTTCCCCTGCTGCCCTGGTTATGGCACCTGTGATGCCCAAAGAGCTTCCTACTCAAGTAGCAACCACTCTGGGGATACCAGTTTCTCCTCCTCTGCCAGACCCTAAAGACCTTAAAAACCACCCTACTCCAGTATTGGTAAAATTCCCAACACAAAAAGATCTCCAAACTGTACCTGGCTCTCCTATAGGAGCTTCTATTTTTCCAGCCCAGGCAGGACTCCCTACCAAGAAAGACCCTAGTCTACCACCATTGACCCTGGCAGCCCCTGAAAATTTCCCCTCTCCCCAAAGTTCATCATCATCTCTGGAGATGTCTCTTTCTCTTGAAGCTACCCTAGCAAAGGAAAGCCTTGCAGGGCCCCTCCCCATAGATAAGCTGGTCAGTGCTACTCTTTCTCCCCAGGTTGTTAAATCTCCAACCTCTATAATCGATACAGATCCTTATGCAAGCCCAGATCCTGATAATTTGCTTCTCAAAAGTTCTCTCACTACCACAACAATGACTGCCTTTCCTTTGGAAAGTGCTGACCCTGCTGGGGTGGCTCCTACAACTACAGCCAGCATCCTAGAAGGAACTGTCTCTTTAGCGCCTAAGAACCACCTAGCTAAGAATGGTACTTTCAACCCTACTACTTTACCTTTGGTTCCTACAGCCTCTGAAAGTTGCCCTGTGACTCCAGCTACTTTGGCGCTGGCCCCTGAAATTCCCAAGTCTGTGCCCTCTCCTTGTATTCCCCCAGCTGGGACTCCTTCGGGTGCAAAAAAAGTTGATGATATTTTTCATATCTCAGCATTGGCATCTGTCACTTCCTCTCCTGAAGGATGCCCAACTGAGGATTCTGGTGCTTCTGTTACTGCATCTTCCAAAGGAACCCTGACTTACCTAGCTGACTCCCCATCTCCCTTAGGGATTAGTGTGCCTCAGGCTAAAAGACCTCCAACCAAACAGAGTTCTGCTATCCTTGATGCTTCTGTTGGAAATCTCTCATCCCCTATTTATCCAACTGAAGCTTCCTTTCTTCCAGTGGCCAGTCTTTCTTTTCAAGGCCCTAAAGGCTCACCAACCAAGAAAAATCCTCCCACTCTCCCATCCCCCAAAGGGGCCACTCCTTCCTCTCCCAAAGGCATAACCCTATCCCCTAAAGAGATTCCCACTCCCTCAGTTGGGATACCTCCATCCCACAAAGAGGGCCCATCAACCCCATCCTCTAAAGGGGCACCTACTTCTTCAGCTGTAACTACACCCTCCCCTACAGAGGCTCTAGGGGCCCCAATTCCTCAAGCAGTGACTCCTTCTTCCCCTAAAGGGACCTGGACTCCCCCAGCGGTGACTCTTCCCTCCCTTAAAAAAGCCGCAGCAATCCCAGCTCCCAAAGGAGGCCCAGCTACCCCATCCTCCAGAGGGGATCCCACTTCCCTAGCAGTGACTCCTTCCTCCCCTAGAGAGGCCCCAGCAACCCCAGCTCCCAAAGGAGATCCAGCTACCCTATCCTCCAAAGGGGATCCCACTTCCCCAACAGTGACTCCCTCCCCAGAAAAGGCCCCAACAACCCCGGCTCCTAAAGGAGGCCCAGCTATCCTATCCTCCAAAGGAGATCCCACTACCCCAGCAGTGACTCCTCCTTCCCCCAAAAAAGCCCCAGCAACCCCAGCTCCCAAAGGAAGCTCAGCTCCCACATCCAAAGGGGATCCCACTCCTCCAGCAGTGACTCCTCCCTCCCCTAAAAAGGCCCCAGCAACCCCAGCTCCCAAAGGAGGCTCAGCTCCTACATCCAAAGGGGATCCCACTCCTCTAGCAGTGACTCCTCCCTCCCCCAAAAAGGCCCCAGGAGGCTCAGCTCCCACATCCAAAGGGGATCCCACTCCTCCAGCAGTGACTCCTCCCTCCCCCAAAAAGGCCCCAGAAACCCCAGCTCCCAAAGGAGTCCCAGCTATCCCATCTTCCAAAGGGGATCCCACTCCCCCAGCAGTGACTCCTCCCTCCCTTAAAAAGGCCCCAGCAACCCCATCCTCCAAAGGGGATCCCACTACCCCAGCAGTGACTACACCCTCCCCCAAAAAGGCCCCAGCCTCCAAAAGGGATCCCACTCCCCCAGCAGTGACTCCTCCCTCCTCCAAAGAGTCCCCAGTAACCCCAGCTACTCCATCCTCAAAAGGGGATCCCACTGCCTCAGGAGTGATTCCTTCCTCCCCAAAAAAGACCCCAGCTCCCAAAGGAGGCCCAGCCAGCTCATCCTCCAAAGGGGATCCCACTCCTCTAGCAGTGACTACACGCTCCCCCCAAAAGGCCCCAGCATCCAAAGGAGGCCCAACTACCCCATCCTCCAAAGGGGATCCCACTCCCCCAACAGTGACTCCTCTCTCCCCCAAAGAGGCCCCAGTAACTCCAGCTCCCAAAGGATGCCCAGCTACCCCATCCTCCAAAGGGGATCCCACTCCCCCAGGAGTGACTCTTCCCTCCCCCAAAAAGACCCCAGCTCCCAAAGGAGGCCCAGCTACCCCATCCTTCAAAGGGGATCCTACTCTGTCAGTGGTGACTCCTCCCTTCCCCAAAAAGGCCCAAGCAACCCCCTCTTCCAAAGGGGATCCCACTCCCCCAGTAATGACTCCTCCCTCCCCCAAAAAGGCCCCGGCAACCCCAGCTCCCAAAGGAGGCCCAGCTACCGCCTCCTCCAAAGGAGATCCCAATCCCCCAGCAATGACTCCTGCCTCCCCCAAAAAGACCCCAGCTCCCAAAGGAGACACAGCAACCCCATCCTGGAAAGAGGATCCCACTGCCCCAGTGGTGACTCCTCCCTCCCCCAAAAAGGCCCCAGCATCCCCCTCCAATGGGGATCCCACTCCCTCAATGGTGACTCCTTCCTCCCCCAAAAGGGCCCCAGCTCCCAAAGAAGCCTCAGCTGCTCCATGCAAAGGGGATACCACTCCTCCAGCAGTGACTCCTCTCTCCAAAGAGGCCCCAGCAACTCTGGCCCCCAAAGGGGCCTCTACTCTCCCAGCCATGACTCCCTACTCCAAAGAGAATTCATCCAAAGAGGCCCCCACTTTCCCAGCCCTTACTCCTCTCTCTCACAAAGAGGCTCCCATTCCCTCAGACATAACTTTGCCCTCATCCAAAGGGACCCCAGTTTCCACATCCCCCAAAGAGGCCCCTATTCCAGCTATGGCTCCTCTCTCCCTCCAAAAGACTCCATCAACTCCAGTCCTCAAAGGGACCCCTACTTCCCCACCTGTGACGGCTTCCTCCCCCAAAGACTCCCCTACCTCCCCAGTTTCAGTGACATGTACTGTTGAGTCTGTTGCCCCTCAAGTACCTAAAGGGCTTCCAGCAAAGAAGGGATCCACAGCTGTCAAAGAAGCACTTGTTGCCCCAGCTCCCACTCAGAAAGGTACACAGGCCAAGAAGAGTTCTGCTACTTCACCTCCTGTGTGCCTAGATCCCTCAGCTAAGAATGGTACTAAAGGACCCCTTTCCACAGTGGCTTCAGCCCCTCTACTCACAGTCCCTGCTCAGAAAGGTTCTTCAAAGCCTGCAAAAACTCTCCCGGTTTCTCCTGGGAAAGGCAAAGATTCTCTTCGTTCCCCAAAGAGCCTCTTGGCTTCTCCTGAGTCTAAGGCATCTACCCCTCTGGCAGCAGCTGCCTCTGAAGAGGTCCTTCCTAAAGGTGTATCAGCATCTGTCTCTCCAGCATCCACCCCACCAGTCTCTCTGCCTCTTACTCCCATCCCAGATCCCCTTCTGCTTCCTAAACAGCAATTCCTGCCGTCCTCACCTGGGCTGGTGCTGGAATCACCCTCTAAGCCCCTAGCCCCTGCTGATGAGGATGAGCTGCCGCCTCTGATTCCCCCGGAACCAATCTCTGGGGGAGTGCCTTTCCAGTCGGTCCTCGTCAACATGCCCACCCCCAAACCTGCTGGAATCCCTGCCCCAACCCCCTCTGCCAAGCAGCCTGTTCTGAAGAACAACAAGGGTATTTGCCTTGGTTTGCTGTGTGCATGGTGTGTTGCCCACACCCCTCTTGGGGGCTACCCACCAGTACTAACCCTAGGATGCGCCGCTTCCTCCAGTGTACTTGCTTGTGTTTGGACATAGAACATAGAATGATAATTTTACATGCAAACGCTCTAGGAATATGAAACTGAATCTTGGTTTTCATCACCTCAGATAGTACTTTGTGTATCATTCTGTGTAAGGTGGCCCAGACTAAACTCTGGGTCTGCCATCTTTTTTACCTAACTGATCTGACATTGAAAACCAAGACCTGCCATACCTTTAATTTTCTCTAATCCCTACCACATCACTAACCTTGTCCCTGGGCCTGGAATTTGCTAAAATATTGGGGAATCTGGAGCTATTTGTCTGTCTTTTTTACTTTGTAGTAATGACCAGTTGCCCAGGGACTCCTTTTTCTTAAAAATGTAGAGACCTGTTTTTCCTAGCCTGAGAATGGTGCTGGTATATGCTGCTTTTTTCTCGATAGTCTTTATTGATGCTTGGCCTTTCAATTGAGGGAAACTTAAAATATATGAATTATGTTTGGAAGTAAAATATATGAATTATGTTTGGAAGAAATGGGGGCAGTCACAGGACAGTATCCAGTAGAGAAAGTGACTATTAGAGCTATAAGTCAACAGCAAGAATCTTCCAGCTATAATTATAGATTGCTGGGGTGAGTGGTTTGAAAATAAGTCTCAATGGGTGTACATAGCTGCTTTTGGCCCTAACCCAGTTTAAAGGATTAGGAGAAATGCCATACCTATTCTACCTCCACAATGTGATTTTTTTTTTTTTTTTTTTTCACTTACTAGAAACACCTTAATGGCAGAACTTTTCTGGTATGGTTGGGCTATTGGGTAAAATTTAGAGCTACAGGGGCCATTGGTGTTTGCCTTTGCCAAGAAATGAAGACCTTGAGGGAAAGAAAGCAGTTACAGTACGTAAATTGATCAGCTATATCTAGTGATTACCACTCATTTCTGGGGCTGGGTTTTTAATAGATATGTACACACTAGTTAGGGACTAAGGTTGGGGCTGTTAAGCTGGCTTCACACAAGCCAGTTGGTTTACATTAACTTTGTTAGGTCTAGCATAAGGTTATTGACTTCTAGTCCAGGCAAGCCATGGTGAGGTGTACTCCTTCCTTATAATCTTATAAAATAGTAAACGTTTGTCATCTTAGGGTCAGGAACAGAATCTGACAGTGATGAATCAGTACCAGAGCTTGAGGAACAAGATTCCACACAAGCAACCACACAACAAGCACAGGTGGGTATTCTCTTATTAACTGGTACTTGGGTCATCAAGGAAGCAAGGTTGATCAGAGCTGACTTTTCTATTTGGAACTTTGCCCCCTCATAAAGGGAAAACCACATGGAGATTTTGATATCCAGATCCTAAGTTCCAGGTAACTGATAGCTGTTTTTATCTTGTTAGCTGGCAGCAGCAGCTGAAATCGACGAGGAACCAGTCAGTAAAGCAAAACAGAGTCGGAGTGAAAAGAAGGCACGGAAGGTAAGATTTTAAGTTACAAACAAGGATTAAAGGTTGTGTGAAGTGGCTTCAGAGAGTAGAACACCTGTAGTAGAACTCCAGTAGCAGTAGAATTGTGTTTAGTTAAAGTAGAAATTACTATGGCAAAACCTCAGGAGTCCTGAAAACTGATTCTCTATTCTTATATAAACTTTTCCTAGCCTTGAAAAAGGCTTTGTTTTGAATGTGATATTATCTTCCTTGCTTCTTGAAGCTGCTTCTAAAGAAGTTGAAAGTCCGGGCACAGTGGCTCACACCTGTAATCCTAGCTCTCTGGGAGGCCAAGGCGGGCGGATCATTTGAGCTCAGGAGTTCGAAACCAACCTGAGCAAGAGCGAGGCCCCATCTCTACTATAAATAGAAATTAATTGGCCAACTAATATATATAGAAAAAATTATCCGGGCATGGTGCCACATGCCTGTAGTCCCAGCCGCTTGCGAGGCTGAGGCAGTAGGATTGCTTGAGCCCATGAGTTTGAGGTTGCTGTGAGCTAGGCTGACGCCACGGCACTCTAGCCTGGCAACAAAGCAAGACTCTGTCTCAAAAATAAATAATAAACAGAAAGAAAGAAAGAAGTTGAAAAACCTGATCTTTTCTGTTCTTTAGGCTATGTCCAAACTGGGTCTTCGACAGGTTACAGGGGTTACTAGAGTCACTATCCGGAAATCTAAGAATATCCTCTTTGTCATCACAAAACCAGATGTCTACAAGAGCCCAGCTTCAGATACCTACATAGTTTTTGGAGAAGCCAAGGTGAGTCAAATTTTCTTGGAAGTTGATCTAGACCAGTGTTTGTCAACCTCACAACTACTTACATGTTGGGTCAGATAGTTCTATGGAAGGGCTATTCTGTGCATTTTGGACGGTTTAGCAGCATTGCATCCATTTGTGATAGCCAAAAAATTAATCTCCAGACATTACCACATGTGCCCTGGGAGACCCAATATTCCCCCCAGTTGAGAACCACTGCTCTAGACCTAGGCTACTTCTCTTTCTACTGTGATATATATGTGTGTAAGGACAAGCAGTTTATTTTTTTTTATTATTATTAAAATGTATGTCTTTCATGTATTGATTAAGCAGTTTGAAGTTATATATAAGTTACCTGAAGTAGGTTTAGAGTTTTTTTGTTGTTGTTGTTTTTGTTTTGTTTTGTTTATTTTATCATATTATGGGGGTACAAATATTGTTAGGGTGGTTTAGAGAATTTTGAAGATACATATGATTTATTTTTCAATTACTGTAGTCTGATGTGAATCTGTGTTATCTCCTGTAGATCGAGGATTTGTCTCAGCAGGCACAGCTAGCAGCTGCTGAGAAATTCAAGGTTCAAGGTGAAGCTGTTTCAAACATTCAAGAAAACACACAGACTCCAACTGTACAAGAGGAGAGTGAAGAGGAAGAGGTATATCAGAAAATTTTTTTTCAATTGTCCAGAATTTTTCTTTTTTGAGATGGGGTCTCACTATCACCCTGGGTAGAGTACAGTGGCGTCATCATAGCTCACTGCAACCTCAAATGCCTGGGTTCAAGCCATCCTCCATCAGCCAATAGCTGGGAAGTAGCCAAGTAGCTAGGACTACATGTGTGCACCACTACTCTCAGTTAATTTTTGTTTTTTGTAGAGACGGGGTCTTGCTATGTGGCTGAGACTAGTCTCCACTCCTGGCCTCAAGCAGTCCTTCCACCTAAGCCTCCCAAAGTGTTAGGATTAAGGATTAGGATTACCATGTGAGCCATGCCATTTGACTAATTTTCTAAAATTTCTATGACCTTGTTCTGGATGGAACAGGACAAGGCCTCAGACCATTTCAAAACTGTTCTGGCAAGCAGTATAAGAATCTATACTTTTGTTGGTTTTTGTTTTGTTTGTTTGTTTTTTGAGACAGAGTCTCCCTTTGTTGCCCAGGCTAGAGTGAGTGCCGTGACGTGACGTCAGCCTAGCTCACAGCAGCCTCAAACTCCTGGGCTCAAGCAATCCTGCTGCCTCAGCCTCCCGAGTAGCTGGGACTACAGGCATGCGCCACCATGCCTGGCTAATGTTTTCTATATATATTAGTTGGCCAATTAATTTCTTTCTATTTATAGTAGAGATGGGGTCTTGCTCTTGCTCAGGCTGGTTTCGAACTCCTGACCTCAAGCAATCCACCTGCCTTGGCCTCCCAGAGTGCTAGGATTAGAGACGTGAGCCACCTCGCCCGGCCAAGATTCTGTCTTAAAAAAAACCAAAAAAGTTTCCTTGAGACCATTCTCTTGATTTCTCTTAAAATCTGGTTAATCTTCCATTTCAAAGTGTCCAAAGATCGTTCCATGATCTTTTTCCATCTGTATTTTCTGCTAACATAGGTAATGAATGACACATCTATCCATTCAGACATATAAGAAATCTGTTCTCTTCCAAAAAAATTGGCAAAGCAATGGAGTTGGACCCTAGTGTTACACCATATATACAAAAATTAATTCAAAATTGATAAAGAACCTAAATGTAGGAGCTAAAGCCATAACATTCAGAACAGGAAACAAGCTTTGTGACATTTAATGAATTTAACGATTATTTCTTTTAAATGCCACCAAAAGCAGAGGCAACAAAAGAAAAAGATAAATTGGACTTCATCAAAACTTAACCCTTGTACATCAAAAGACACAACAAGGTGAAAGGCGACCCGTGGAATGGGAGAAAATATTTGCAAATGATGTATCTGGTAAAGGGTTAATATTCAGAATATGTAAAGAATTCCTACAACTCAAAAAAAAAAATACTATTGGATTTAAAATGGGCAAAGGACTTATTTTTTTTTTTTTTTTGAGACAGAGTCTCACTTTGTTTTTTATTTTTTTTTTTTATTTTTTTTTTTTTTGAGAGGGGAGGGGAGGGGAGGGGAGGGGCCAGAGTCTCACTTTGTTGCCCAGGCTAGAGTGAGTGCCATGGCGTCAGCCTAGCTCACAGCAACCTCAAACTCCTGGGCTCAAGCAATCCTGCTGCCTCAGCCTCCCGAGTAGCTGGGACTACAGGCATGCGCCACCATGCCTGGCTAATGTTTTCTATATATATTAGTTGGCCAATTAATTTCTTTCTATTTATAGTAGAGACAGGGTCTCGCTCTTGCTCAGGCTGGTTTCAAACTTCTGACCTCAAGCAATCCGCCTGCCTTGGCCTCCCAGAGTGCTAGGATTACAGGCGTGAGCCACCACGCCAGGCCTGGTTTTTTTGTTTGTTTGTTTTGTTTTTTTCTTTTTAGTCTTCAAAGAACAGGAGGATGTTGTGATTTTTTTGAGACAGAGTCTCACTCTGTTGCCCGGGCTAGAGTGCCATGGTAGCAGCCTAGCTCACAGCAACCTCCAACTCCTGGGCTCAAGTGATCCTTCTGCCTCAGCCTCTCAAATAGCTGGGACTACAGGCGTGCACCACCATGCCCGGCTAATTTTTTCTATATATTTTAGTTGGCCAATTAATTTCTATTTTTTTTTTTTAGTAAAGATGGGGTCTCGCTCTTGCAGAGGCTGGTTTCAAACTCCTGAGCTCAAATGATCTGCCCACCTCAGCCTCCCAGCATGGAGTTATGATTTTTGAGTTAAATTAAGAACTAGATTCAAGAAACTCTGGTTCCAAAGAACTGTTGAAGTTTTTTAATTTATTACATTTTTTCCCCTCACTTCCAGGTTGATGAAACAGGTGTGGAAGTTAAAGACATAGAATTGGTCATGTCACAAGCAAATGTGTCGAGAGCAAAGGCAGTCCGAGCCCTAAAGAACAACAGTAATGATATTGTAAATGCTATTATGGTAAGTGTCCAACCCTTTATTCTTTAACCCCCTCTGCCCTGACCAAGCCTTGTTCCAAAGCCCATTCTGAGTTGCCTTAGGTTTTAGTGACCTGAATTCTCCAAATTTGCCTGTAACTACCTCTGATTATCTTTTTTCTCTTACAGGAATTAACAATGTAACCATCTGAAAACAAGGACTTTTTTTGGTGTTTCAAAAGAGTAACCACAGCTTGGTTTGAAATTTGTACTGTTTCTATCATTAATAAAGTTATGGCTTCTTGTTGGATGAACTCACTGAGTGCTTGGTCTTTCCCCACCAAAAAGTGAATGTTCTAGTAAGTTACTAATCTGCTCTTTTTTTTTTTTGAGACAGAGTCTCACTTTGTTGCCCAGGCTAGAGTGAGAGTGCCCTGGCGTCTGCCTAGCTCACAGCGACCTCGAACTCCTGGTATCAAGTGATCCTTCTGCCTCAGTCTGGTAGCTGGGACTGCAGGCATGTGCCACCATGCCCAGCTAGTTTTTCTATATATATTAGTTGGCCAATTAATTTCTTTCTATTTATAGTAGAGACGGGGTCTCGCTGTTGCTCAGGTTGGTTTCGAACTCCTGACTTAAAGCAATCCACCTGCCTCAGTCTCCCAGAGTACTAGGATTACAGGCGTGAGCCACCACACCTGGCCAAAAATTTTCTAGACAAAACTAATTATACAATACGTATCTTCCTGCAAATTGCTTTGCAGTTCAACTTTGTTTCCAAGATAGATCTGTTAGGAAATTTGGTCATACAAATTGGGTCATTCTTGTCATACCTAATTTAAAACGGAGAAACGAGCAGGGGAAAGGACTTAGGGTACAAAACATTTCTCCAAGAATCTGTGTAATTCTCTGCAAGCCTGACTGCTGAACTGCTTACAGTAACATAAACCAGTTTATCTATAGCTTCTGAGATAATCTGCTACAACTCTGGGACTAATTTTGCCTACTGCTATCACAATACTAATGCCAATCAACTTTCCCAAAGAGCAATACATAACTTTTCTCCTCTTTTATAAAACCTCGAACTTCTGTTGTTTGGACATACCAAATACCACCCAGCCTATGAATGCCCCAAATTGCACTTCTTTCTTCCCAAATAACATTAAACTAAGAGATTTAGGACCAGGTATAGTGGACACCTGTAATCCTAGCACTTTGGCAAGCTGAGGTGGAAAGATTGCTTGAAGCCAGTAGTTTGAGATCAGTGTGAGCAAAATAGAGACCCCATCTCTAAAAATATAGAAAAATTAGCTGGGCACTATGGCTCACACTAGTAGTCCCGGCTACTTGGGAGGCTGAGGCAGGAGGATTGCTTGAGCCCAGGAGTTTGACGTTGCAGTGAGCTTAAATGATACCACTGCTCTCGAGCCTAGGCAACGGGGAGACTCTGTCTCAAAAAAAAAAAAAAAATTTAGAGATTTCTCTCTTCATTTTTATTTGACTTCAACAATAATACAGTGATAGGCCGGGCGCAGTGGCTCACGCCTATAATCCTGGCTCTCTGGGAGGCCGGGCAGATTGCTCAAGGTTAGGAGTTCGAAACCAGCCTGAGCAAGAGTGAGACCCCATCTCTACTCTAAGTTGAAAGAAATTAATTGGCCAACTAAGGTATATAGAAAAAAAGCCAGGCATGGTGGCACATGCCTGTAGTCCCAGCTACTGGGGAGGCTGAGGCAGGAGGATCGCTTGAGCCCAGGAGTTTGAGGTTGCTGTGAACTAGGCTGACTCCACAGCACTCACTGTAGCCTGGGCAACAAAGTGAGACTCTGTCTCAAAAAAAAGAAGAAAAAAAAAAAATACAGTGATAAATGTAGGCCAGCCGCAGTGACTCACGCCTGTAATCCTAGCACTCTGGGAGGCCGAGGCGGGTGGATCACTCAAGATCAGGAGTTCAAAACCAGCCTAAGCAAGAGTGAGACCCTATCTCTACTAAAATTAGAAAGAAATTAATTGGCCATCTAAAAATATATACAAAAATATTAGCCGGGCATGGTGGTGCATGCCTGTAGTCCCAGCTACTCAGGAGGCTGAGGCAGAAGGATTGCTTGAGCCCAGGATGCTGTTGAGGTTGGCTGTGAGCTAGCTGATGCATGGCACTCTAAGCCAAGCACAGAGTTTGAGACTGTCTCAAAAAAAAAAAAAATACGTTATATAGCTCTATTTCTTTCCAGTTCACCTTTTATCTCTACCAGTCTGCCCTTTATCTCTACCTTTCCACTAAACTGGCTTTCATCAAGGTCACCTAGTTGCTAATTCCAATGGACATTCTTCCCATAAATGGCTGGGCATTTCGGCTAATTCCTCAAATTAGTTTCCGTGCCCAAGGGCGCAGGCAATCTCATACCTGTAATCCTAGCCATTCTGGGAACCAAGGCAGGAAGACTCTTGAGCTCAAGGAGTTTCCAGGACCAGCCTGGAGCAAGAGTGAGACCCCAATCTTTACTAATAGTAAATAATTAGTCTTATGTGGTTACACCACCTGTAGTCCCAGGTTACTCCAAGAGCTGAGGCAAGGAGGGATCACTTGAGCCCAGGAGTCCAAGTTTGGCTGGGAGTTAGGCCAATGCCACCGGGCACTCAAGCCCCGGCCCAACCAGAAGCAATTCTGTCTTTTTTTTTTTTTTTTTTTTTTTTGAGGACCAGAGTCTCCACTTTTTCCCAGGCCTAGAGTGGGAGTGGCCGTGGAAGTCAGCCTAGCTCCACAGCCCAACCTCAACTCATGGCTGAAGCAATCCCGGGCTGCCTCCAGAGCCCTCCGGAGTAAAGCTGGGACTACAGGCATGTGCCACCATGGCCCTGGCCAATTTTTTCTATATATATTAGTGGCCAATTAATTCTTTTATTTATAGTAGAGAATGGGGTCTTGCGCTCTTGCTCAGCCTGGTTTGAACTCCTGGACCCTCAAGCAATCCACCTGCCTTGGCCTTCCCAGGAGTGCTAGGATTAGAGACGTGAGCACCTCGCCCGGCCAAGATTCTGTCTTAAAAAAACCAAAGTTTTCCTTGAGGACCCATTCTCTTGATTTCTCTTAAAATCTGGTTAATCTCCATTTCAAGTGTCCAAAGATCGTTCCATGATCTTGTTCCATCTGTATTTTCTTGCTACATATGTAATGAATGACCACATCTATCCATCAGACATAAAGAAATCTGTTCTCTTCCAAAAAAATTGGCAAAGCAATGAGTTGACCCTAGGTTACACCCCATATACAAAAATTAATTCAAAATTTGATAAAACCCTAAATGTAGGAGCTAAAGGCCAATACATTCCAGAACAGGAAACAAGCTTTGTGGACATTTAATGAATTTACGATTTATTCTTTAATGCCAACCAAAAGCAGAGGCAACAAGAAAAAGATAAATTGGAACTTCATCAAAACTTAACCCTTGTACATCGAAAGGACCACAACAAGGTGAGAGTGGACCCGTGGGAATGGAGGAATATTGCAAAATGATGTATCTGGTAAAAGTTGAATATTCAGAAATATGTAAAGATTCCTCAACTAAAAAATACTATTGGATTAAAATGGGCAAAGGACTTTTTTTTTTTTTTTGAGGACAGAGTCTCACTTTGTTGCCCAGGCTAGAGTGAGTGCCATGGCGTTCTCAAGCCTTAGGTCACATGGCAACCTCAAAACTCCTGGGTCTTGAGTGATCCTCTGCCTCCAGCCTCCCCGGAAGTAAGCTGGACTACAAAGAATGGCCGGCCACCCGCCATGCCCCGTAATTTTTTATACATATATCAGTTGCCAATTAATTTCTTTCTATTTATGGTAGAGACGGTCTCCGCTCTTGCTCAGGCTGTTTGAACCTCCTGACCTTGAGCAATCCGCCCGCCTCGGCCTCCCAAGAGCTAGGATTACAGGCGTGAGCCACAGCGCCCGGCCCTGGGCAAAGGACTTGAGTAGACATTTCTCCAAAGAAAACTGGCAAATAGCCAAGAGCACTTGAAATGATGCCCAACTTAACTAATCACTAGGAAAATGCAAATTTTTTTTAAATTTTGGTCCCAGCATTTTAGGTTGCTGAAGCAGGAAAATCGCCTCAGGCCTGGGGTTCAAGACCAACCTGCACAACATAGCAAGACCCCATCTCTATAAAAAATATAAAAGCCAAGCAGTGATGGCATGGTGGCATGGGAACTTGTAGTCCTAGCTACTCGTGAGGCTGAGGCAGGAGGTTGGCTTCAGCCCAGGATCTTGAGGCTACAGTGAGCTATGAACACAACACTGCACTTCAGCCAGGATAACAGAGCAAGACCCTGTCTCTAAAAAAAGAAAAAAAAGTTTATAAAGGAGAGAAGAAAAAAACCAACCTTGCCATCATTCTAAACTCCTCTTAGCCATTTCCTACCAGTTTTGCTTTATATTTTTGTTTATCCCTCTCTTCAGTCCTAATGCCATTGTCTTAACTTAGAAACACCTGGATAGTCTGGGCTATAGTCCCCTGTTCTCCTACCCTTCATTCAGAATCCCTCTATGCTTGCCTCCCATAGGTGGGTTGGTTCTAAAATCCTCTCACACTTGAAGTCCCATTGAATAAAGCAGCAATTTTCAAACTTTAATCATGAAATCATTTATTAAAAATAAGTCTTAATTAAAATTCTAACATAAAACTCTGGTTGAGGCCAGGCGCGGTGGCTCACGCCTGTAATCCTACCACTCTGGGAGGCCGAGGCAGGTGGATTGCTCGAGGTCAGGAGTTCGAAACCAGCCTGAGCAAGAGCGAGACCCCCGTCTCTACTATAGAGAGAAATTAATTGGCCAACTAATATATATAGGAAAAAATTAGCTGGGCATGGTGGTGCATGCCTGTAGTCCCAGCTACTCGGGAGGCTGAGGCAGCAGGATTGCTTAAGCCCAGGAGTTTGAGATTGCTGTGAGCTAGGCTGACGCCACGTCACTCACTGTAGCCTGGGCAACAAAGCGAGACTCTGCCTCAAAAAAAAAAAACCAAAAAACTCTAGTTGAAGATACCGTGTCTGGAGCCTTGCCTACTCAGCCTTACATATCTCTTATTGGAACAGAAAATGAAAACAATTAGAAATCAGCATTAATCCATAATTCAATAAATTCCTCGGTTCCTATGATTTGCTAAGCACTGAGGACCCAGAGGAGAATAAGATACAGTATCTGCCTCATGGAAATTACAGTCTGATGGGAGAGGCAAATATGACCGTCTAAATTCCTAAGCTGGGCTTCCATATATGGTTCTACATATTTCTGAATCATTCATTCAAGGAGTATGCATTCAGCCTGC